CGGATCCCGGGGCGATGGGGTGGATGCCTTTTCCCGAAGCGAGCCTCTAGCAAAAATCCCAGCTTTAAGCCAGGGCTGGGGTGTCTGTGGGGAGCATGGGCTGTCTGGAGGGCTCTGACAACTACAGGAAAAAGCAGCTGGATTTAACTAATATCCCTCTCCCTCTCTCTTCTCTCCTAGAACTGACATCTTCCAAATCTGCTGCTGCTGTAAAGAAAAAAAAAAAAAAAAAAAAAAATGGAAACCATGCATGAGCTGATCCCCTTCGCCAAAGAAATGCTCAGCCAGAAGCCCAACAGGAAAATGGTCAAGCTGTACATGCTGGGCAGCGTGCTGGCTTTCTTTGGCGTGGTTATTGGTCTGGTGGAGACAGTGTGCAGTCCTTTCACCTCGGACGGGAGGCTAGAGGAGGAGAAGCAGCCTGCCCCGACGCGAGAGCAAATGCTTCCTCAGAAACAGGAGGATTTGATCTTGGAAAAGAGCAAGAAGCCGGTGGCGATGCAGAGGGCCCTGGTGACCAGGCAGCACGCCTCCTAAGGAGCCCCGCGGCCGGAGCAGCGCCTGCTGAGCAACCAAGCACAAGAGACTCTGCTGTCCTGTTGTACCTGGTGGTGGGTTCCAGCAAGAAGAGAGAAGGGTTTGGCTGAAGGAGGAGACCGCAAGTGCAAGACTTGAAAGAAGCGAACGGTTTTATTTGCTGCTGTGCAGCAGTGGGGAAAAAATACCTTTTGTTGGTATAAAAATGTGCAAGACGCACAGCATGGTTTCTTATTTTTATTACAGATGCATTTTACACCATTTTGCAAAATCAATAAATATTTTATATGGTACCAGCGCTCTCTAGCTGCCTTCATTTCAAACCCCTCTCGTATAGATTTGCAAATAGGTTTCACTTGCGCCCCTGCCTTCTCTCGGGGTGGGGGGGGTAGCTGGGGGGCCAGGGAACAGTTGAGGGTGGTGGGTGCACCCTCCCGTAAAGCCTCCCTCCCTGAGGCTGCTCTGGGACCGGGGGGGGGTGGCGATTCCAGCTGCCCCCTGCCAAAATGGGATAACAGGGCGGGGGGAAGGTGGCAGCACATATCTCACACGGGTGCCAGACATGCTCCCAGTTGGAGGTGGGGTTGTACTTCACGGGGTTATCTGGGTTTAATGGCACAGATTCCCATCTCTGCCATGGCCCTGCATGCCCAGAACTGTTCTTAAAAAACCCCTGTGCATCCCCCAGCGACCCTCTAACAGATTACAGCTGCAGCACAGATAAAAAAAGCTTAAAAAAAAAAATCTACCTTCCCTGGAATCCTTCACAAGCCCACCACAGACACCTAATGGTGCAGAATAATATTAGCTTCCAGTATTCCAGCGGAGACTGAAGACGATGGCATGGTCAGCCCAGGGTGTGGGAACAGGGATCCAAGCTTCAGGGCTGCAACCAGGACACTGACAGACGCCTTAGAGGACTTTCACCCATTGAAAAATCTTTCCTGTTGTGTTCAGGACTGTATCGTGTCAGAGATACAAACCCTCCAGCCGGCCATCCTGACCATGCTACAGCAGGGAGGGAAGGGAAACAGCCCTGGCAGTCGCAGCCGGGGCAGAAAATCCCTTTTTATCTGCTCAACAGCAAAGACACGGCCAGCGGGGCGGAGGAAGGAGCAGGCTACACACCTCGCGCGGCTGCCGGGAGATGGACCAGCACCGCTGTCGAGCAAAAAGCCAAACAATTGATAACAAACAGCGGGAGATGGTGGAAAATGAGAAAGCGCTGCCCGACACCAGTGCCAAATGCATAGCTCCTCTCGGAGCCGCACACGTCCAGATCAGAAAATGTAAGAAAATAAAAGAACGCAGCTGAAGTTCACCCTTAGGTTTTCATGCTACATAACCATGCAATTCAGCTTGTTGACAGTTATTTCTGTCAAAAAAAACCCCCCAACAAAACAAAACCAAAAACCAGCAGCGCATTGTGGAGGAGGGATCCTACGAAGTCTGCACAAAAGCTCTGTTCAAGCTTTGAATCAAGTATAAAGTACTTTTTCCTCATGGGGAAAAGAGCAGAGTCCAATTAAATTAAAAGCAGCCTTTGAGAAATACTTAATTTAGTCCGTAACTAAGCTTTCGGTCTCTGGCAAGGCTGAACAGCCCAGCACCTCATTGATACCAATGGAAACTTTGTGGGCAAACAGGAAAGGAGAACTCAGGCCTGCAGAAGCCATCAGCTGACAGGCGTCCGTCGTTGTCCCCCCCCATTCCAGCCTTAAGCAGGTTAAACATCCGCAGCACAGCCTCCGGGATGGGGAAGGCTGACCTGGAATTCCCTGCGACACCCTTGGTGCATGGATGAAGCAGGGACCTGAATGCCCGTGGCTGCGCCAGGCATGAGAACGTCGCCGGGTCTGAGCTCTTGCACATCACTAGTTGAGAAGCATCGCTGCTGCGGCGGAGCTGAACAGTTGATAAATGGATTAAACGGAGATGATAATCGCGTCTCTGTCCAAGGCAGCTGCAATCTCTGTCAATCGCACATGGGTTCCCGGGATTAGCCCTTCCCTACAGGCTGTGGGTGCCTCACCCTGCCCTAGGGGAAAGGGAACATTTGAGGAGTGAGGAGATGGAGCTAGTCTCAAGCAGCCCGGCTTGCAAGTCCAGGGGTGACTAGGGAGCTCCAGGCGAGCCCATCCAGGATGGCCTCCACCACTTCTGGGTTTGGATCTCAGGGTGTCTTCACACCCCATACATGGCCCCCTGGTATCGTGCCGGCACCCTGCCGCCCACAGCTCCTTGCCGCAGTGATCCAGTCACAAGGTTTATGAGCTTAAAGCAAAGAGGTTTGTGGAACAATCAAAATAGTTCCTCCTAAGACAGCTAACGGGATTAGACAGCTAAAGCACGCGCTGCGCCGGCGGTTCTGGAGCCAACTCGGTAAAATCACATCCCACAGAAGACAATCTCCTGCCTCCTGACGCACCGCAGCTCAGAGGTCCTTACCTCCCACATATTACCCCGAAAGGTCAGCCTGGGAGGTCAAGCCCACGCGATACCCTTTCCACAGCGGATCGCATCCATCTTAGACAGGACCAGCTCTCTGCAGAGCGGTGAATTAAGACTCGTATTAATGGCTGAGTCCACCACATTGACTATATCAAGCCTTATGTAAACCACACGATGATAAATTCAGTGTGCGCGGAGGCTTGGTAATCCATTTAGCATCACCTCAACTACGATGAACGACAGACTTGCCAGATGCAATAGATTAAAAGGCTTCAGCGAACTTCCCAGTCTTTAAACCGCGGCACAACTCTCCAAACCAGCCTTTCCCAGCCCCATCACACCTCTATTTTGACACCAGACAAACTGCAGAAAGCCCTGGCCAATACAACCCCGTGCAACCAGCAAACGGCACCCACGCACACCAGCAACGGAGCACGGCGGAGCCATTCCAAAAGCCCCTCTGTGAATTGCAAAGAGAAGTTTTAATTATAAGTGCTGGGCTATACCAGAGAGCAACCAGGCGTACAGTCAGTACAAGGGCACGCTAGAGCACAGAAGCATGCGGCGCATCTAAGCCCGAGTTAAACCAAAGTCCTGAGATAAGCTCTTGAGGAAAGCCACACGTTGCCCAAGCTGTGAATTAGATTGCCCAGAATCACAGGAGGTTCATTTCTGTTTTCCTCTCTCTTTTAAGACTTGTCTGAACCCAGTTTACTTTAACCAGTGAACAGGACATTGTCCTCATGCATTAAATCCTCAGGAAAACTGCAGCTGGCATGAGATCTGGTGAGCGTTTTTCTGTACCCATCCTGCAACACCTCTTCAAAGGTCTTATTTCGGCTTGGAGCTGTCGTCCAGGCTTTCACCATATGAAGCTGAAGGCCACCGAAAACCCAGCAGCCCCCCCTCACAGGCCAATCACTTCAAGGGCACGAGCCAAACTTGCTATTTGCAGTTTAGACTCTGGATGTCTCAAGAGCAGCCAGGCTAAAATTAGGGGCCCAGATAAGGATATCAGCCTCTGCCACCCAACACCAAGGGCACTGGGAACATGGATAGCAGCCAAGACTTTAAGCAGCCACATACCAGCAACCAAATATCAAGGCAGCAATTCCCGATTTGGTCACACAGGAAATAAATACATTTAGTGCTCAGACCTGGCTTAACCATCACAGTATTTCCTCTGAACCAGCAGTGAGTGGAAACACCATGTCAAACCAAACCCAGTCCTACAATCATCTCAAGTCTCCCTTGGGACCCGAGAACACGTTTTTTGGGAGCGGTGCAGCCGTGACAGCGATGGGGTTTGCAGGACGTCGGCACGGGCTGTGTCCAGAAGCCACCGTGAGGTGGGACGCAGCCACGCCAAAACACACACGTATCTGTCACGGCGCAATAGCATCGTGTTGACACGCACGTCAGCCCAAGGCAGATATAACCGAGGGCAGCTCTTTAAAGTAGTGGAATCCATAAAGAAAGGGAATAAATCCGCGCTCACGGTGAAGTATGCTGGGAGAGCTGGGTGTGAGAAATAATGTTTTAATGTCTAAGTGACAAGGGAAAGAAGGGGGGAAGGAAAATCCTCTGCGTTTAACAAAGATTCGATAATGGGTTGAAAAAAGCCAAATATCACTCAAAAACG